GTGGGGCTTAATCCCAGGATTCCGGGATCATGACCTGAGCTGAAGGCAGACCTTAACCGACTGAGCCACCCAGGCGTCCCAGTAAATAAAACGTTTAAAAAAACAGATAGATAGATAGATAGATAGATAGATAGATAGATAGATAGAGTTGCTGAATCAGTCAAACAAGGAGCTATACTTCTAGGCCTCTTACGACATGACACAATAATTTACTTATTGTATAAAAAGTCTGAATCAGTTTCACTTACAGCTGCAAACATTATAATTTAATTCAATTATTAATCTAGAGGCAATGCCTCATTTGTTACAAGAGCAACTTCACATCAGACCACCCTGCTTCCATAGAATGTTATTATTTGGGGGTCTTTCAAGAAAGAGGGCAAGTACAAAACTCAGTGCTGTCCTCTCATCTTTCAGGGTTGTGTGGAGTCTACCTTCCCCCAACCTGTGTTATCACCATGAGAACAATTTCAGACACAAAAATATAATAGGTCAAAGAAATTTCATCAAGCCATTGAAAATCCTTTAGATCACAGATAAATTAGCAACACAGGTACCTGGCTGCCTGATGAATAAGGTCCACATATATGGAATAGAAGAACACTGCGCACTCCCTCCACTCCCCTACAACCAATAGGTATTGCCTTAAGTTCTCCATTTAGAGATTCACCCTTCTGAGCTGAAGTAATTACTGTTAAATATAAATGCCCATTTAGGGTCATAGGTTTAGCCTTACTAACATTTAAATATTCAGTGTAAGCTCATCAGATCTTTCGTGAGAGCAAAATTTAGGATGGGGAGTTAGACAGGGAATACAATTACAGTGAGTACTTGGGGCCCAAGAAGGGAGGAAAACGTGAAAGGTGAAGTGAGGGCCTTGAAGACAAAGTATATTTGCTTTGCAATTCTCCTACTAGAACTCATTACTCATCCTTCAGTTTGTAGAGATCAGGTGACAAGTAATGATCTTCTCAAGCCAGGAGGGGCCCAGGTTCCCCCTCAGAACCTGGCCAGGGCCAACAACAGGAGTTGTCTCCAAGGTAGAACATCGACCCAAAAGCTTCAGTATCCCATTGGAGCCACATGAGTTGCTGGGCCAGCCAGGAGGAAGGAGGAAGCCAGGAATCTCACCAGCCTGTGAAATTAGCCAACTTCACCCCGGCATCAGGGATAGATGTGGAAGCCAGATGACCTTTGCATCCGGATACTGGGCAGGTCGAACATCCCCTTAACTCTCTACCTTCCACTGTCTGGAATTGGTCATTTCACTTTAAGCACCAACTAGATATAAAATTTTAGTGCATAACCACTAAATAACCTTACAAAGTATTGGATTCATATGAATAGCATTGAAAACAAGCAGAACGTCTGTCATTATCTTTGTGAAGACTTCACAGTTCCTACTGTAGAGCTTTTTTTTTTTTTTTTTACAAAGAATAAAATCATTGCGGGGAGCCTGGATGGCTCAGTCGTTAAGTGTCTGCCTTCGGCTCAGGTCATGATCCCGGGGTCCTGGGATCGAGCCCCACATTGGGCTCCCTGCTCAGTAGGGAGCCTGCTTCTCCCTCTCCCACTCCCCCTGCTTGTGTTCCCTCTCTCACTGTCTCTCTCTCTGTCAAATAAATAAATAAAATCTTTAAAAAAATAAAGTCTTTGCAAAAATTAAAAAAAAATCCCTATTTTCCAGATCATTAAACTGAGATATAAGAAAGTTACCACGATCATAAAGTTTATCAGACCCAAACTCACAGTTAATCCTCCATCCTTAGAGCCCCTTTCCACCAAGCACTCCTGCTTCCTCCTCTCTTCACCCAAGGCCTCCACTGACTTGGGAAGTGTTGAACTTTAATGGAGCACCAGATCCCCCCTTCCCCTAGAGAGACTCAAGCTAAAATTACTTCTAGTCCAGTGTTACATGGTGCCTTTAAGCTTTAATTTTACATTTTCTAAATACATTCAGGAGGTAAAAATTAGAACAGTACAAAAGGGATAGTGTATAAATAACTCCCCCACCCTTGCTCCCTCTCTTGACCTCCAATCCCCAGGTTCCCTTGCGAGAAACAATCATCCATTTCTTGAGCATCCTTCTGAATATGAACTGTGTATATAGAAGTAGGTAAAATGCATAGCCTGTTTTGCTCTTTAAATTACAGAATCCCACAATGAATTCCCAGAAATGTAATTTGCATAGAATCTTAGAGGAACACAACATATGTGTTAGAAATGCCCAACATCCAGGCAGGTTTGGGGTAAGGAACAAGGTTTCTCACAATGATTTCAAACCAGAAAAGAGACATATGCCGCATTTTTATATCCACCACCTTTTCTAAACCCACTTTTAGCCTGTACATACTCCAGAAACAACAGCGTTCGTAAAAGTACTACTCACTGATTTAAAATAATATATTGTCATCTGTACGGAAACTATTTTTTAAGCTTCAAGAGGAAGCCCAAAGCTCTCACAAGTCAGGACCTAATGAGCAAGTGCATATTCATTCTATCCACGTACTTCATTATTTTGTAGACTTCCATCCTGTCCCTTCTAAGCCTTTGTCCTTCTGAACCAAGAAGTCTTCTTCACAACTAACCAAAAGAGAAAAACATTGCTCCTGATGGTTCACAGAAGTCACCAGAGACGGTACAATCCCAGCCTCAGGCGATCTGAACCTTCTATGTTTTTAAAATCAGGCAGGTGAGAGGTTTTGCTAAAACAGGGCATTAGCAATCATGCATGTGCTAACTAAATCCCTATTTAGACCTGGAGGTCAGGCTATTCCACATTTTGGACGAATAGCAATAACAACCAGCTCTGCAACTGGATACCCAACAGAGTTTAAGAAACAGATGGGAAAGTTATCTATTTTCAAATCTCTGCCAAACTCCCCTTAGTTTAGAAGGAATATAATCCAGTCGTCTGTGCTACTAAATCCAATACCTCTTTTTTTTTTTTTTTAAAGATTTTATTTATTTATTTGACAGAGAGAGAGACAGCGAGAGCAGGAACACAAGCAGGGGGAGTGGGAGAGGGAAAAGCAGGCTTCCTGCGGAGCAAGGAGCCCGATGTGGGACTCGATCCCAGGACCCTGAGATCATGACCTGAGCCGAAGGCAGACGCTTAACGATTGAGCCACCCAGGCGCCCTAAATCCAATACCTCTTTCAACACTAATTCATATACACAGTGTGTTGGCAATGACTTGTAGCAATGATGAGTGGCATTTTATATGAGTGAGCTTCCCAGAGGAGAGACACATCCCTAAGTGGTAGACATAAAAGTCGTTAAAAAAAAATAAAGTTAGAAGAAAAATAATCACACATCACTGCTTCATCACAATAACCAAAAAACTGAGCCCTTAATACCAAAAGGAATGTAAGGTCTCTACCCCTGAAACTGTGCATAAAGATCTTCATTAAAGCCAGCCCAAACTGTTCTGTCTCGACTTAATGTCATAGTCACAGGTAGCATTTCAAATCCTAGTCCATGATCTCACAAATGCAAGTCACAAATGCAAGAAAGGGAATGTGTATGCCTGCATATAATTCGTGCCACTAGCTGAAAGACAATCCCAAAGCTGTGGCATCACTGCGGCTGGGTGAGACATTTTCACAGTATGTTTAAGAACAAAAGAGAAGAACTGCCCCCCCACACACACAAATGGTTAAAATGCAGCCCATGTCAGCAGAAACACCTGGGGCACCCAATTACCAGAAGATATTTGAGGACCAATGTGCTCTAAGTTCTGTACTGACAACAGGAAGCACATCTGGGCCCTCAGTCCAAATGCAGCCCACGTGGTCTCCTCAGGGAAAGTCTCAGTAAGCAAAACCCAGATCGCACTACACATCTGGCTTTTGCCCCAGCACGAACTACCACTCCCTCTCCGCCGGGCACTCTGCATTTTTTCAACAAGCCATTCTCAGCCATCACAAGTGCCTTGGTGGGAATCACAGGGAGGCCTCATCCCATTTCCCAAAATAACGTCAACCAGAGGCAAAGGCCAAGGAGGTGGAGCCTACGGGCCATTTTGCAAAAGTTTCAAATATCCTGGCACTGACCCCCTTAAAAAAATCATGAAAGGCAAACAGGCAAGCTTCTTGTTTTCTCATTAGTGTTCACTCTCTCTCTCTCTGTCTCTCACTCTCTCTCTCATTACAAACTGAATTTATAAGAAACAAAAAAACAGATCTCACATAAAATCATATGGACATTGCTGGCTGTTGGAAACAGAATTTCATTTTGCAAATTTAATAGCCAAAATTTGAAATTGAAACGTATAAAAGAAATGTGCAGTATTCCTGTTACAGTTCAGTCCCCAACGTAAGACTGAACAAAGAACTGGTGAGCCGTCCCACCTTCTCCAAAGCTTTTCTGAAATATGGAACTGCCTCAGATTTTCCATACTCTGCTGATCTTCCCTCTGAAGAGAGAGAAAGCAGATTTCTTGGCTGTACAGTTAAAGAAACCAAATAACGTACTCTCTCTCCTAATATCAAAGGGGCTTTCCAAAACACACACACACACACACGCGCGCGCGCGCGCGCGCGCGCACACACGTGTATTTCCTGAAATATAAACAAAAGAGAGAATATGACAACGAAGGAAAGAAAATGCCACTTTGTTTAGTTTTTTAAAACCTTCCCACAAAATCAGTAGCAAACGCAACAGCGGCATATTTTTCCCCACTATCTCCCCTTATTCCCCACCATCTCCCCCTTCTGCCTACAGTACTGACAGCAAGAGCAAATGATATTGCAGGTGTGAAAACGACTCGGGAAGAGAGTATAAATTGCCAAAGAAATACAAACTGTCATTACTATTACTGAAACTTTAAAAGGGCCAGCGGCCCACATTTATCTGTTCGGATCGAAAAACCACACCTCTCCCTAGATCCTCACTCCGGGCATGCCTGCCTCTTCCCAAGTACTTCTTTCCCAGGTCCCTGTCCCTGGCTATACCCCCCCGTTGCAAGCCGCGCCTTTCCCGCCCCGCCGAGTCCTCACCGTGTGGTACATAAGAGCCTCGGTTTCCCCGGGCTCTGACAGCTCGCTCAGCTTGCGGTCCCACTGCAGGACGCTCTGCTCCCCGCTCTCCAGCACCTCCATGCTGGTCCGAGGGACGCTGGGCCGAGGATGCTGAGGGCAGGAGGGGAGCGGGCAGAGCCGCCTCGGAGGCTAAGGTCCGGCTCCGCGGGGTGTGTGCGCGTGTGTGCGTGTGTGCGCGTGTGCGTGAAGCTTATGCACTTAGAAAGGAAAAACGTTCTCTGCTCTGCCTGAGGGAGAACTGCCAAGGGCTCCCGTCCGGTGTCCTCGGAAGTCTGAGAACTGCCGGGAGAGACAGGCTGTCCAGGGATCTGGCTGAAGGCTGGGGGGGTGAGGGGGGTTAAAGCAGGGCGCGCATCCAAAATGAAGGCAGGAGATCAGCTCTCATCCCAAGGAAATCCCTTCGCAATAAGCCCACTTTCCACTATCGCTCCAAACACAAACTTTGTGACTTCCCAGGGCTCCTCAGTTCTGCTCCAGGACCCAGCTATGACTCCACCTCCCTCTAGGGCAGAGACCAATCGGATACTCACCTCGCCCGCCCTATCCAATCAGAAGTCTGGCTTTCCGCCCCGTCCCGCCCGGAAAGGCTGGACAGCGGGAAGTCTCTGCCCAGGCTTTGGAATGTGGGCGGGGAGCTCCTTTGGCGTCACCGGGGAACTCCTTCTGCCAGAGCGCAACCAGCCACCGCTCTCTGAGGCAGCGGACCAATGGAGTGCTTGAGTCTGGGAGTGATGGACTGGAATCGTGGCCAATGATAAAAGGGCGCCTGGGAGGAACAGCCAATCAAATAGCGACAAGAATACATTTCATAGAGAAGGGGGGGTGCACTCGGTACCTTCGCTTAGAATCCACAAAAGTTAGCGCGAGCTTCTGGAAGGGAAGGGAGCCGCTGTGTGGGCAGATTTATATACTGTATTAAATATTATATATTTATATATGGTCTTAAATATTTTCTTAATGTAGATTAGCTCATTTGAGTTTCGAGATTTTTTTTTTAAAAAGTGAGTTACATATTCACAAATATAAATATTCCCCATTGTGTGTGAATTTGTATTAGCACAGTTCTAGCAAATTGTCAGTTTGTTCCTCACATTTTCGCCCTAGTTCGGCTCTGCTCCTCTCCTGACATGTTTTAATCACTTTTTTCTTTCAGTTCACTCTACAGACACTTGATAAAAGCCAATGGCTGGCTTTTCCAGGTCCTAAAGAGCTGTGAGTTAAGACCTTGAATTCAGGGACACCAGGTGGCTCAGTCAGTTAAGCGTCTGCCTTCGGCTCAGGTCATGATCCCAGGGTCCTGGGATGGAGTCCTGCCTCAGACTCCCTGCTCAGTGGGAAGTCTGCTTCTCCCTCTGCCCCTTTCCCCTCATTCTCTCTCTCTGATAAATAAAATCTTTAGGGGGGCGGGGAAAGACCTTGAATTCACAGAACTTGTATCTCCGTGGAGGAGTCAGGCAATAAACAGATAAAGATATAAAGGCATAATGCAAACCTTTTTTTTTTAAGATTTTGTTTATTTAGAGAAAGCACACAGTGGGGGAGGAGCAGAGGGAGGACAAGCAGACTCCATACTGAGCCCAGAGCCCCACAAGGGGCTCCATCCCATGACCCCGAGATCATGACCTGAGCTGAAATCAAGTTGATAAATAAAGGCATGATGTAATTTCAGAAAGTGGTAACTGGTATAAAGAAAAATAAAAGCAAGGTAAGACTATGGGGCAGTTCCATGCTATTTTAGACAGCAGTCAGGGAAGTTCTTTCTGGGAAAGTGACATTTGAGCAGGGACCTGAATGAAATGAGGTTTGGGGAAGAGCTGGTGTTTTGCTGACTGACAGGGGGGCCCATTTGGCTGCAGCAAGACTTGCCAGGCAGTGAGTGATGGGAGAGGAGGCCTGAGAGATGGGCAGGGGGACCAGATCACCAGCCTGCCTAGAGTAGGGAAGAGAGAGCTATTCTAAAGTATTTTCCCCCAACACTGTGATCGTTTCTCCCTTTTTAGACTCCTCCTTTAAGGGAAACAAAGTCATTGAAAATATAATTTGCTCATATTGTTTTTGGCCTTTTTAATTAGTTTGCTCATTTTAAATATAAAGGAGTCTGCCAATTGTCTCTCAAAGTTTCTTTCAATGGCACATTCAGATTTTAAGTATTCCTCTCCTTTGCAAGTATTTCTTGGTGAGTGGGGTCAGTCAAAGGTCTTGGGACTCTGTTGTCTTTAAGCCGCAGATTGTCATGTGAACTATTCCATTTGTCTGGTCCTATCTCCTGGGACTTTTGAGAATATTTTAATATTTGAGTAGAAATTCCAGTTTATGGGCATGTACCTTCTTTGTGTAATAGGTTTGTCATTTTTCTCTTGGTCCTTGATTTTCATCTTTCAATCTGCTACCTCCTTCACCACATCTTTTTAGCATAACCCTCACGTGAGTAAGTTAGAAACATGTACATCCCCCTTAATGTTGGGATACAAACCTTTATCTATCAAACATTTCTGCTTTTGACAAAGTCAGCCCCTAGTTATGCCCCATGTGGTAGGCAGCTTCGAAGATGGCTCCAATTATTCTGCTTCTTGGTATTTATACCCTTGTGCAACTCCCTAACCTTCAGTGCGGGCTGGACTTCCTTCAAACACATAGAATATGTCAAAAGTAATGGGCTTTGAAGAAACATTCTGGCTCCTCACTTGCTTGACCTCTCTTCCTCTCTTGCTTGCTTACTCCAAGGAAAACCAGCCACCAGGTTGTGAGCTGCCCTATTGAGAAGCCCACATAGCAAGGAACTGAGGAAGATGTCCAGCCAATAACCAGCAAGGAACTGAATCCCTCAGTCCAACAACCCTTGAGCAACCACATCCTGCTAATAACCATGTGAGTTTACTCTGGGAGCAGATTCCTCCCCCCAACCTCAAGTTGAACCTGAAGATAACTATAACGTTATCAGAGACCCTGAACCAGAGGACTCAGCTAAGCTGCATCCAGATTCCCAACCCACAGACACTAAAGGTAATACATGTATGGGGGTTTTTTTGTTTTTTTGTTTTTTTGTTTTTTAAGATTTTATTTATTTATTCCTGAGAGACAGAGAGAGAGAGGCAGAGGCAGAGGGAGAGGCAGGCTCCCCGCCGAGCAGGGAGCCCAATGTGGGACTCGATCCCAGGACCCTGGGATCATGACCTGAGCCGAAGGCAGACGCTTAACTGACTGAGCCACCCAGGCGTCCCCATGTATGTTGTTTTAAGCCACTAAATTTTTTCTTCATAAAATAAGTCATATAATAGTTGGAACCCTAAAACGTTTGATGAAATTTACCTGTACTCCAAAAACAGTCACAATCCCTAATGGTGAGTTTTTTCACCCTCCTTTGTTTCATGTTTCCTTCTTCCATTCAGCGTACACAGGACTTCACACCAGCTCATTTCTTGTTCTACACTTCAGTCTAACATCTGTCCCTTTCCCTCTCATTCTTAGGACTTAGCAACTGCATTGGCTTTTTTTTTCCAGCTTCTCTGTCATCCTTAAAAAGCAGCAGCACTTACTCCCCTGTCTTTTTTCTTTTCTCCTTTTCTTTTTTTGAGATATAATTGACATATAACATTACATTAGTTTCAGGCGTACAACATAATGACTCAATATTTGTATATATTGCAAAAAGATCACCACAATGTCTGGCTATAATCAACATGATGTATGTTAGATTCCCAGGACTTATTTATTTTATAACCGAGGAGTTTATACCTTTTGACCCACTTCACCCATTCTGCCTACCCACTCTTGCCTTTGGTAGTCACCAATCTGAATACTCTGTATCTATACATTCAGGGGCTTTTTGTTTTTGTTTTTATATCCTACATATAAATGAGATCGTACAGTATTTGTCTTTCTGTCTGACTTATTTCACTTAACATAACGCCCTCAAAGTCCATCCATGTTGTTGCAAATGGCAAGATTTCCTTCTTTTTATGGATAAATAATATTCCATATTGTATATATACCACATTTTCTTTATCCATTCATCCACTGATGGACACTTAGGTTGCTTCCATGTCTTGGCTATTATAAATAATGCTGCAATGAACATGGGGCTGCAGATATCTTTTCCAGGTAGTGGTTTTGTTTCCTTCAGATGAATACCCAGAAGTGGAATTGCTGGGCCATATGATAGTTCTATTTTTAATTTTTTGAGGAACATCAATACTATTTTCCACAGTGTCTGCACCAATTTACATTCCCACCAATGGTACACAAGGGTTTCCTTTTCTGCACATTCTCGCCAGCATTTGCTATTTCTTGTCTTTTTTTGATCATAGCCATTCTAACAGGTGTGAGATGATAACTCATTGTGGTTTGCATTTGCCCTTTCCTGATGGTTAGTGATGTTGAACACCTTTTTATGTGTGTGTGTGTGTGTGTGTATGTGTGTGTGTATATATATATATATATAAAATACAGAGAGAGAGTGTGAGTGTGGGAGTCAGAGGGAAATAGAGAGAGAGAATCTTAAGCAGCCTCCACACTCAGCACAGAGCCTGCTGCAAGGTTCGATCTCACAACCCTGAGATCATGACCTGAGCCAAAATCAAGAGTCAGAGGTTTAACCGACTAAACCACCCAGGCACCCCAGTTCTTGATATATTTTGGATATTAACCCCATATCAGATATGTGATTTGCAAATATTTAATGCCATTTAGTAGGTTGCCTTTTCATTCTGAGGATGGTTTCCTTTGCTGCACAAAAGCTTTTTGGTTTGATGTAACCCCATTTGTTTATTGTTGCTTTTATCACCTTTGGTTTTGGTATCAAATCCAAAAAATCATTGCCAATACCAATGTCGAGGAGCTTACCACCTATGTTTTCTTCTAGGATTTTTTTGGGTTTCAGGTCTTATGTTCAAGTTTTTATTCCCTTTTGAGTTAATTTTTGTATATGGTTTAAGATAATGGTTTTGTTTCATTCTTTTGCATGTGGCTGTCCAGTTTTCACATCACCATTTATTAAAGAGACTGTCCTTTCCCCATTGTATATTCTTAGCTCCTTTGTTATAAATTAATTGACCTTATATGCATGGGTTTCTTTCTGGGCTCTCTCTTCGGTTCCACTGATCTATCTGTCTGTTCTTATGCCAATACTATAGCTTTGTAACATAGTTTGAAATCAGGAAGCATGACGCCTCCAGCTTTGCTTTACTTTCTCAAAATTGCTTTGCCTATTTTGGGATTTGTTTGTTCTATGTCTGTGAAAAATGTCATTAGAATTTTGATAGGGATTACATTGAATCTGTAGACCACTTTGAGGAATGTGGACATTTTAACATTATTAATTCTTCCAATTCATAAAGCAAGAAATATCTTTCTATTTATTTGAATTTTCTTTCATTTCTTTCATCAATGTCTTAGTTTTCAGTTACAGGTTTTTTACCTCCTTGATTAAATTTATTCCTAGGTATTTCATTCTGTTTGATGCAATTGTAAATGGAATTATTTTCTTAATTTC